CTCCGTTTAACTCTGAGTTCTTGTTATATTTTATTACCATTTTCTAAACTATAGCGAATAAACTGTGATAATGGGAGAAATGTTGAAGGTGTCTGAATAAATTTTGGCTTGACTGTATCTATTTGATAAATTAAGTTAACCAACTAACATTATACATACTCTTTTGGTTTCTGTACCCAATATTTTAAAAATGTACAAATGCAATAAAAATATTGGTATCGGTACTCGGTATCAGCAAGTACCAAAAATAAAAGTATCGTATCGGGCGAGTACTGGAAAAAGCGGTATCAGTGCATCCCTAGTGATAACTATTGTGTTTAACACAATTCTCTATTTTCAGCAAAGCAGAATTATAAACATTTACATGCTAGTTTTCACAGCAAAACAACACAAAGATGCTGACAATGTTTTAGAAAAGAAAATTCTGAAATTTGAAGCCACAAAAATCACAAAAAAGTCCAGCAAAATCCTGGTGGGACCGTATGACATGCAAAGCTTTGCTTTGGCTTCTTTGGAATATATATCCTAATAAGTACATAATAATTATTGGTCGGTTTTCACTGCAAATTAAAAAATAATGCTGCAAATATCACGACAATTTTTTGAGAAAAACTGTAGCAAATTTAAACATTTTGGGCTGCGAAAATCAGAAAAAAAGTCCCACAAAATCCTTGTGGGACTGGGTGACATGCAAAGCTTGCAGCTTTGACTTTTTTTATTATCAAAAAATAAATAAATACACAAACTTGCCAAATTTTGTTGGTAAGTTACTTCTCATTTCTGATTCACAGACTATTATATAAAAGCACACTTACAATAATTTCCTGTGTACTCGAATCACAGCCGTGCTGATATTCACTACAACAGCATTCTTAATTAGTTAATTAGTAGAGTCAGAAGCATCCTATTATTACTCCATATTTACAGACTCACATCTGCAGTCACAGGCTGGCATATATAATGAATACTAGAGATTCTCAGACAGAAATCAGCGAAGCCTGTTTGCTCCCTGAAGCGTGTCTGTGGTGCCTCACTGATAGCAGCTCTACATTAGATTATTAGACTCCAGAGAGATCCCAGATTGGATAATATTATTTTTTCCCCTGGCTGATGATGCATTACAAACATAAGAAGCACTGTAACAGATGTCTCGCAGGGTGAAAATAATAAATCACACAGGCTACTGCGCGCACACACATGCGGTATATTAGTTCTGTGAGTTAACTTGCGTGATTTATTGGACTTGGTGAAGGCCCTGGATGGAGTCTCCTCAGTGCACCTAACTTCCCTTGCAAGCATCATTAAGAATACACCACTAATTGTGTTGTTTTAAAAGAGTGGAAGCTGATAATGACTCCATTAGTGATTCACCAACGCTTCTGTTTCCTTGGAATCGAGCCGGGAGGAGTAACATGGACATGCACCTGGGAAAACCGCTGACAGATGAATGGGATAAATGAAGCAAGCAAGCAGAGGGAAGGAGAGAATATGAATGTTTCTTAAGTTGATGTAAACTAGTAAAAGGTGGTAAGGCAAGGCGAGGTTTGACAACCACAAGAAAAATGTGGACGTTTGATACTTTGCGGCTGTCTGATTGGCCAGCTAAATCGATTTACACTGCAGAAAAGGCACATTAATCCCAACTCTTTAAATGAGACACAGACATAATGCATAAACAGGAATCAAAATTGCAGAAAACTGTGTAGTTAAAAGGTGATTCTCATTTATTATTATCTAAGCTTATACTTCAGGATCAGTTTGAACATAATTCCAAATATAAATTGAATCATGAGACAAAAAGTGAATTTAAAAAATAAATAAATAATGTATAATACTCTTCTCCTTCTACTTATATATTAAGAGTCTACTTCATCATCATCCTTATTATTATTTGTGCATTATTATTATTAGTAATAATGTATTATTATTATTATTACTATTGTTATTATTATTATATAAAGAGTCTACTTTTCATGAATAATAATAATAATACACATTACTATCATTAATAATGATTTATGAATTATTATTATTATTCAAAAGTAGACTCTTTATATCATAATACATTGTTATTATGATGAATATTATCATTAATAATTAATAATTAGTATTCTATTCTATTAATGAAATGTAAACTCTTGAATATAGATTTCTATATCATACTATCCTATATTGTTGAAATTTTTGAGACAAATGAATGAAGCTTTCAGAGAAGTTAACGAATACTGAAATTAACAGGAGTTTTGAAAAATGAGATGAAGACTCCATGTGTGTCAGCAGCCTAATAAAATATTTTTGATCTTGAATATTGAATATTTAGATTTTTGAGTTGGTCGCCTAATCTTGGCTGACATGTTCACATGACCAGCTATCTACCAGCAATTCTACTGACTTTATTTCTGTAATTCTTCATTTGGAGCAGTTTTAGAACAATGGCATCAGTAATTGAAAACTTCTGCGGGATACTGCATCCACACCTCTAGGTGTCAGTATAAGCTCAAGATGACATGTGGGCCAAAGCAACATAAACAAAAAATTACTGAGTGCACCTTGTTGAGTCCTTGGAAGGAGCTGACAGCGGTGTGTCACGTGGCGGCATTACAGCATGAATCAGTGCTAAGCTCAGTCTAATTTTCTAAGTCCCTATTTCAGTCGCAAACTCATCACACAGACAACAGCCTGTGGCTATTTCAGATGAGATTTAGACTGACAGAGAGAGAGGAGGGTAGACACACTTTTTATGGAGCTCTCTCGTTCTTTTCCACCACTGATTAATTTCGTACTAGATCGGTTGGCCAGCAGTGTTATTAGCATAAAATTTCCATGGATCAGGCCCTGCAATAAAACCCTGTCATCAAGTCACTTGTCAAACACACAATTTCAAATCTCATTTAGTGTCTAATATCATTTTCATACCAGGCGGAGGGGTGCAGAGAGAGGTGGAGGGCTAGAACAGAGACGGGAATGTGTTATGTAAAGGATAAACGGAGTCATCGATCAAAATTAAAAGAGCTGAGCTGAGCTTCATGATTAAAAATTCTACGGATCAGCATCAAGTGTTTATCAGGTGAAGCAGACAGCAGGAGGTTGAGAAGCACTGGATCTTCTAGAGGACCTCAAGTGTTACACAAGCATTCAGCATTTGCTATAACAATAATCTAATGCCACCGTGAAAGAAAATACATTTTCACATTTTGTAAATAAAATCAATGCTTCCTGATGCACAAAACTAGCCAACAAGACACTAAAGGCCTGTTTTTCAACCAAGGGCAATAACTATGACTTTAAAGTTTGATCTAATAATCAATCTAATTCTATGAGAATAGAGACGTCCACACCATAAGGATAATAATTGTTTTTTTTTCAACTGATTGGATGATAAAAACATTGACAGCCAATCAGAATCCACCTGACTTTAAGAAGCTTGAGCATTTAAAGTAACAGATGACATAAATTCAGTGTGCACTTATAAGAAACACTATGTTATCATCCATTGATGTGGATACTAATGAAGTTATTGGTTATCTTTATAGTTATTGTTCTAGGTGTGAATGGGCCTAAAGCTTTTGCAGGTGGTTGGTATGTAGTTGCTAAGGTGTTTCTGAGCACATGTGCTTTCAGGGGTGTTCTGGGTATTGTCTAGGTCAGGTTTTTCCAAACGGGGTTTTGTTGATGAGAAGCTAATAATTAATTATACTGAATGTAAAGTTTAAATAAATAAATGTGGCTGCACAATACGATCAGTCTCAGAGAGGCTCGGTTTACATTAAATGCAGTGAACTCCATGTCTGCTTGTGCAGCGAGTTTAATGTGCATTTTGGAATGCAACATGCATTAGGTTTTATTTATTTACACATTTGCACATTATCCAATATTATCCAGTATTGCAAAAATAAAAAGCAAAAGGATTTGAAATGTTTAAAGTTCAAGGGTTTGGACATGAAGAACTTGAAGCTTAAATTAGATTATTATCGTAATTATCATTAAATGTTCTGTTTTTTATTTTACAGTACAACTGTAATTTACAACAGTAATATATTTCTGTCTTCATCTTTGTAATTTGAGATAATATAAGGCATTATTATTATTAAATACCAGTGTGAATGTAATGTGCACTGAGACACTAATAAGATGTTTGAGTCCACTTTAAAGTCCAGCAAGAAATTCAAAGGTTGCAAAACAAATCAAAACAAAACAAAACAAACAAAAAACAATACAAAAAATGAAACAAAACAAATCAAAACAAAACTAACAAACAAACAAAAATAAAAAAACAATACAAAAAACAAACAAACAAATAAATAAATAAAACAAAAGTATCGTATAGTTTTGTTTAATGTATTTAGGAGCTATTCTCTAGGAAACTAATAAATCTGACTAATAAATAGCACACAACCATTTAATGAAACTTCTACTGACTCATAACTACAACAGTTTTTCAGATGCTGTAATAAAGTATGATAAACATTATTCCCCCCCCCACACACACACACACACCTAAAGCCAAGCTGAAAGCACAGGCACTAATTAAGAAAAATAACACTGGTTTGGAGAGAGTAGAGTGTGTGTGTGTGTGTGTGTGTGTGTGTGTTTGGGGGTTTCATTTTAATAAGGACAGAGAATCAATGCAATTTAATCAATCTTGCCTAATTAAAAAAATCTATATTGTGAAACAATCAAGGTGCATAAACAAGATTAAAATAAATGAAGGAACTGTGCCATGAGCAAGGGAGGGCCTAATTAAAGGGAGTTAATTGGAATTCCATGCCTAAGTGTGGATTGTCGATGCAGCAGACAGGAAATATTACACGTGAGTGCGCTCACAAACACCCTTCAGCTAAACACACTCAAGCACTTCACCACAGCAAACCCACACTTACTCCAGATCTTTTTCAGGTCTCAATACCCAGACCGGCCAATTTGTGACTTTTAGTGTGTTTGTACTGTGTGTGTGTGTGTGTGTTTACCTGTTTGTAAAGGGAGTCTGTCCCACGCTGGAGCTGTGCCGTGTTGTGTTTGTTCTTCTCTATCACCTCCTCTCTCTGTTTCAGGATCTCCTGAAGTCTGCTGACCTCCTTCTGTAGGGACACAACCTCCACTTCCCTAGACATGACCTGCTGCATCTGCTCTGCCAGCTAAACACGCCACAGTCAAACAAATGACAATATTAAATTGTAAGTTTATGGTAAAGCAACATGGCTATTTTGATCACATTTTATCACGTGTGTGGAATAATTAAGATTTTTAAATGTTTTTAAAAGATGTCCCTTATGCTCACAAAGGCTGCATTTATTTGATACAGTAAAAAGTACTATTGTGAAATAATATTACAATTAAAAATAACTTTTCTATTTTAATAAACTTTAAAATTTAATTTTTTCTTGTGACGGTAAAGCTGAATTTTCAGCATCATTACTCCAGTCCTCAGTGTCACATGATCCTTCAGAAATCATTCCAGTTGTTGATTTGGTCAATTATTATCAATTATAATTGGAGCTCAATTATTAATGATGGTTTTTATTATCAATGTTGAAAACAATGTTTTAGGTGCTAAATATTTTCGTGGAAACCATGCACATATTTTAGGATTCTTTGATGAGTAGAAAGTTCAAAAGAACAACATATATTTAAGATAGATATCATTTGTAACATTATAAATGTTTTACTGCCACTTTTGATGAATTTAATGTGTCCTTGTTGAATAAAAGTACTATTTATTTTATTTTATTTTTGATTATTTAGTGTATCATAAAAATAAAAAAAATATAGAAAATATTAAGCAGCACAAATCCAGTGGGGGCGGCAGTCATATTTCAGGGTGACCGTGCCACTCTTTATCACAACCCTGCTAAAAGTGCCAGTACGTGCGCTCATTGGCGCCCCTTCAGCTGGTGGCGCCCTAGGCGACCGCCTAGCTCGCCTATGCCTAGAAACGGCCCTGAGTATAGTATACTATTACCCATTTTCTTTCCACAAATGTTTGCAAATGCAGACTGCATGGCTAGATGCTTGATCTTATGCACCTATGCCAATGGGTCTAATTGAAACACCAATACATTCCAATACGTTTGTCCATATAGTGTGTATATATGACAACAGAGCAGGAAAGGAATGGGCAGAAAAAGCAGGAAAGCACAGAGGCCTGAGGGAATTCAGTATGAAACACGGCTGTGGCACAGAGACGTGATATATAAGGTCTACCAAATTCATCCCTCTTTCATTAAATGTCTCTCTATAATCCTGCACCATCACCCTTGTAGAGCAAAGTTTTTTCAGATGAAGTACTCTATTTCTCTTTCTCTCTGTGTCTGTCTCTCCCGTCTCTTCAGTCGTCTGCTTGGATTAAAATGACATCTCCCCTTGAGTCTTAGGAAATGCCACATGAAGCGGTTCTTAACAAACCTGATGTGCAAGAGGGAGGGAGAGTGGATTGAGGTGTGGTGGTGGTGGGGGAAAGGATGGATGTGCCCTTCAGCAAAAATGAATTTTCCAATTGCAGTTAGTTCTGCCATGAATAAATAAACAAATGAATAATTGAGAGGGCAACATAAATAAATAACATCACAAACATTTCACAGGCACTCATAAGTTCGGAAGATAACTGGGGCTGAATGCTAATGACAAAAACAGTACATGGAGCAGAATCCAATGCATTATTCACTGCTCGCTCGCTCTGAAAAAAAGTCAAAATAAATGAATAAATATGAAAAAGAAAATCTCTCAAAGAACTCAAAACATCCAGTCAGCACTGAAGTGACAGGTTTGTCCCATTTATAACAAACAAGGACACTCTGCCAAACAAATAACTGACCAGTCAGAGATGTATAAATAAACCAGAACAGCTTCTACTTCAATTGACAGGTTATGCAAAGTTTGGCTGCGAGCAGGTCCATCTTTATTCCTCTGAGTGTGTGAGTGAGAGTGAATGGACTGGACGGCCCGCGTCCTTGATCCTGCCCACATTCGGCCCATGGAGGCCTTTAGATGCACCACAACTGTTTTCAACACTAATAATAATAAAAAATGTTTATTGAGCAGCAAATCATCATTTAAGAATGATTTCTGAAGGATCATGTGACACTGAAGACTGGAGAAATAATGCTGAAAATTCAGCTTTGCCATCTAAGGAATAAAGTTCTTTAAAATTGTAATAATATTTCATAAAAGCAGCTTTGGTGAGCATCAGAGACTCTGAATCTGACCCCCAACTTTTCAATAATTATGTACGTCACTGCATTTTCAATCTGTATATGTCACAGACACCTTTAAAAGTTGTCAAAAGACTAAATGTGACCCTGGACCACAAAACCAGTCATAAAGGTCAATTTTTTGAAATTGAGATTTATACATAATCTGAGAGTTGAATAAATAAGCTTTCCATTGATGTATGGTTTGTTAGGATAGGACAATATTTGGCCGAGATTCAACTATTTGAAAATCTGAAATCGAGGGTGCAAAAAAATACTGAGAAAATTGCCTTTAAAGTTGTCCAAATGAAGTTTTTAGCAATGCATATTACTAATCAAAAATAAAGTTTTGATATATTTACGGTAGGACATTTACAAAATATCTTCATGGAACATGATCTTTACTTAATATCCTAATGATTTTTGGCATAAAAGAAAAATCGATCATTTTGACCCATACAATGTATTTTTGGCTATTGCTAAAAATATACCCAAGCGACTTAAGACTGGTTTTGTGGTCCAGGGTCACAAATGATTGACAGGTGTCCCTCACCTCCTCTTTTGAAGCGATCAGATTCAAGATTCAGCTTTTACTCTACAGGAACCCTTACCAGACACTGTTTTACCCAAGTATGTGGTGCGGTGTACCTCGTCTTGCTCTGCGAGCCGCCTGCAGTCTTTCTGCTGGATGTCACAGTTCAGCGCAGCTACTCTGGTGCCCAGGAGATTCCTCTGACGCTCTGCTTCCTGAAGCTCGTGCTGCAGCCTGGAGACTGTGGACTGCTCTTCTACCAGCTGTCAAAACACATGCACAGAAAGAGAGATGCAAGATTTCTTATTATATGTCAAGTTGCATCGCAGTGGATGTGTTTATAGATGTGCAGATCATTGAGGCTGGAGAGGGTGTAGCAGGTGGTGTATTGATACAGATCAGTCTTAAGCTCAGTCCATCTCTGATCTAGACCTTCTTGCTGCTTTTCAAACACAACACATTACACTGCACTCGTTTATTCCAACTGAGCAGCAGACTACTGGATAAACAATCAATAAAGCTAGTAAAGCTGAAAAAGGCAAAACATGAAAAGGCAGGGTCGTGGCAACAGTTAAATTTTTTGAAATTTCTAAATACTTTCTCGCATTGAAAATGGCCTAAACTTCTTGTTTCAACAGGGATACATCAACATATGAAAGAAAACACTTGTCAAGCTTATCATGGGGTTATTAACAGTGTTGGGGAAAGTTACTTTTAAAAGTAATGCATTATAATATTGCGTTACTCCCTAAAAAAGTAACTAATTACGTTACTTAGTTACTTTTTATGGAAAGTAATGCGTTACATTACTTTTGAGTTACTTTTTAAATCTGGGCAAAAAAAAAGTTATTTTACAAATATAAAAGCCCTTTTCACAACAAAAGTGAAATGAATACGGCTCAGGCTGAAGGAAATGTAAATTCACGTCTGTACAGTAGAGGGCGCCGCTCAAACAAATCGCATGAAGAATATGACAAATGTGTCATTTTTGCTTATTAGTATGGTTGAATTGGATCATCGAAGGTCAGTAACAAAGATATTGGATGATAAAATGGGATTAAATACATAAATTATATTTGTCTTATTTAACACATTTAATTATTGCAGGTTTGTATAATATTCTAAGTTTGCATTCGACTGTTTTTATTCATTTTGAGGAACACTGAATCTGTTTTTGTGCAGGTGAGATGAGTAAACATGTTCATATTTAGTCTAGAACTACAGTAAGATCATGTTCACACACAATGCTCTGCACTTACTCCTGATTTCTGTCACCATGGCAGCACCAGAGCTGTCAGTCAATACATGAGAAACAAACTGGCGTTACTTATTTGAAAAAGTAACTCAGATATGTCCTTGTAAATTAAAAAGTAATGCGTTACTTTACTAGTTACATAAAAAAAGTAATCTGATTACGTAACTCGCGATTCTTGTAATGCGTTACCCCCAACACTGGTTATTAACACTGGTTGGCTGCTGTCAAACCTTAGCGTTGGCAAAGTGGTAAACAGCTATTGTTAACGTATATTTACCAATGTCTGCCTTGCAGAAAATCAGGTACAACTACTGGGCGACTGTCATGCATTTGACATTCATAAGTCAAGGTGATAAGTTACCCTCCACAATTTTCAGACTCCTACACCCTTGTGAAAAGATATAAACTCTGCATCAAAATCTAGTGAGATGCCTATAATATTGAATTGAAATATAAATAATTCATTTAATGCTAAACATGCGTGAAAATAATAAATAAATACTATTTCACATCAAATATGTATATATACTGTATGTGTATACACATTTAAAAGACATTAACACTTTTATTCAGCCAGGATGCACTGCATTTGACTCTTCTATTCATCAAATAATCCTGAAAAAAAAAAAGAATAATGGTTTCTGCAACAATCTGAAGCAGAAAAATTCAGCTTTGCCATAACCTTAATACATTTTAAAATATATTAAAATAGAATAGTTATTTGAAATTATAATAATATTTATGTAAACTATATAATAAAATATATAATTCCTGTTTACACACACACACACACACACACACACACACACACACACACACGTGTGTAAAAGAACTTGCTGATCATGTCCTTGCAGTCTCTTTCTCAGTAATTCTATTTCCTGGCTCAAAGCTTGCAGTCTGTCCTCACACTGACCTATCTGACAGACCCTGAGCAGGCGTCAATTAAAAACAGCAGGGTTCAATCCAAACAAAAGAAAGAAAGCAAAATAAACAAAAATTATCTTCTGTTTCTATATAAAAACAGTACTGGAATATGAAGTTCCATCATTTCTGTGCTCTATGCATTCTGGAAGCAGGGAAATTGTCGATTTAAGGAAATGGTTCAGTTTTTAGGGAGCGAGCAGCAGCCTATCTCACATTAAATGGCAAATTGGATAACGTGGGCTAAAACCACTTTGTCTGTTATTATTGTGGATTACACATAATTATCTGCTAAAGTACCATTCCCCCCTTTATTCCAAACACAATGATCCAACTTCATATAAAATATCATTCTAGCATCTTTCTGTAAGTGGATGTAGGATATAAAGCAGAGAATAGACGGTCTAATCAAATTGCCTACAGTAATCATAAAGGGAAACACAAAACAAATTGAAGCAGCAGGGGTCCTAGGAATATATTGTAAGAATTTGGACTGGGCAAGTTGTGAGGGTTGGTGTTCAGGGTCATGTGAAGGTCACAAGCGAACTTGAGCTTGAAGGTGAAGTTTGAAGTTTTTTTTTATGTCAACATACAACTAAGTGATTATAAAGGGTGCACGCTTTAAAGGGAGGCTATAATTCAGAATTTGTATGAAACTTGTTTTTCAGACACACACACTGCAAAGCTTCGGGAATGACATCTGCATATTTATGCTGGAATCACTCTAGAAATAGTAATGATTGACACAGTGATAACGATAGCAAAGGATGGAACAACAATATATGTGAGAACACAAGCCTCCACAGACAGCGCACGTTCAAAGTGAGATCCAGTTCACGGACCAAAAGCACCTTTGGTGGCAATGACTCCAAAATGGACACATTTCAAATGACTGGATTTGGCAATTTGGGGAAAAAACTGAAAAATTCACTGACCATCAGAAAAGCTTCTGGTTAAAATGAAAGGCCATCAACAGACACTTAAAACAGAAGCATCACCATTCAAATCAGCAGCAAGAGTCAAACAGTAGTCCACAGTTTAGTAAACGTTGGCAACCTCTTTAAGTAATTCTTGACTGTGCTGTATTGACTGCTTTGATTGACAGAGAGAGTAAAGTTATGGACACAAAATTATTTGAAGGCAGAACCCTTAAAGGGGTCATATGATGTTGCTAAAAATAACATTATTTTGTGTATTTGGTGTAATGAAATGTGTTTATGCGGTTTAATGTTCAAAAAACACATAATTTTCCACATACTGTACATTATTGTTTCTCCTCTATGCCCCATAAATGGCAATGGTAACAAAATCTATGAGAGTAAAAAAAAACATGCACAGACAAATCCAAATTAAACCCTGCGGCTCGTGACGACACATTGATGTCCTAAGACACGAAACGATCGGTTTGTGCGAGAAACCGAACAGTATTTATATCATATTTTACCTCTAAGACACCACTATGTCCAACTGCTTTGAGCGCGTGCACGGCATCCGGTGCGTGATGTGTGTACGCACTCTGGCGTAGTTTACGTTAATGGATGTGTTGCTATCCAGCCGAAGAGCAATCAACCATAACTTCAGGCGAGCAGGCTCAGAAGTTGGGAATACGTGGAAAGTCACCACTCCCGAATGAGTTCGCGCTAGAGAAAGTAACATCTTGGATGCCCTGGGGGTAAGCAGATAAACATCAAATTTTCATTTTTGGGTGAACTATCCCTTTAACCTCTGTCTGCTTCACTCTTCTGGGCCAGAATGGATCATAATGGAAAACTAGTCTTCCAACAATCAACTTGTCAATTAGTGAGGTTAGTAACCCCCCCATAATAATAATAATTATTATTAAAATTGTTACTACTCTTTTGGGGTCCACAGACCACCCAGGAATAATATAATATAATATAATATAATATAATATAATATAATATAATATAATATAATATAATATAATATAATAT